GGTACCAGAGTTAGTGCATGAGACTCGCGAACGACCGCTGCAAGCGCGAGCGAAATCAGAAAAGAGAGTCGAAGCACGTGACCACGCTTGTATTCTATGAAATTGTACAAGTGCGCGTTTTTGTAGTTTTTCGTATTCAAACAAAAAACGATTATGCAATTGGTGAAATACGTAATGTTATAATGGAAGTAAAATAAAGGTACAAAAACGCCACAATTTCACCTGCATTGTTTTGTTGTTTGTTCTGTAGTTGCACTTGGCTGCTGAGTTGAAATTACTTCATTGCCGATCGAGAAGACAGTGTCGGTGTCAGTTTGCTTGTTGAAATCTCCTCCCTTCTACCTGTGCTCAGGCAGCTCAGATTGACTCCAAGCTATCTTCTAAATGAACCCGTATCTCATGGACAGACTTAAAACTTACGAATGGTGCCAGCCTCCGCCGTGTTAATTAAACTATCGTAGTTGAAACTCGGTATTCACATAATGGAGTTGAGTTTTCGAAAGTTAGGACGTGTCCCTGATGGGCTGAAGCAATCGTGCAATTGAGTTAAATGGACCAGTCCAGACTTTAATTCCCATTCAGGCGTATCGGCGTCGCAGCGATGCCGGCAAATTATCCCACAGGACTTTCAGCAAGGGACATGGATTCTTCAGTGAACAATGGAAGTTGGTGTGCTGAAAAAACGCGAGCGTGGATCAAACCGATTTTTGGTTTAATCATATATGCAACATAATGCAACTTTTTGGCGTGAAACGTTTTGTTTCATTCGGATACGTTTTGTAGCTGATAGGATTGTGCGGATAATGGCCACCATCGCAGTCCCAGTCTGATCGGTCCGTGAAAATTCACGCCAAAAACTCCAGGCCCCGTGGGCAGCGGGCACACCGGACCGTGGTTGCGAGGAAAGCAATATATTTACGAGCCATCCAGTTTATTAGGAAGGCCCATTAGTTGATGGGCTAAGTATGATATAATCCTTATTGCGAAACCTCCATGCTGGATCCTTCTGTTGAAATTTGAGTTACGGCTTTGCTAAAATTGTACTGTTTTATACTCACGGCTGTTTGGACAAGCGAAGCTTTGTTCTCTTCTCAGGATACAGTGCAGCCTGAATGATCTCTGTGTGTAATGTATTTTCCAGACGCTCGCACTTGATGACACTTGTGGTGGTGCACAACCCCCTGCAGTTTTTTGCAAAATAGCCTCCTGTACATTCGTGGTGGAGGCTTATTCTTCTAGATTTTTTCAAAATTTCGAGCACGAGAGCTCTCCTTGCTTCCCTGGGTTATCCATTATAGGCGGCTTCTCACAGTATTCGGACAAACAAGATGCAGTTTTTCAGCGTGCTCTCGCCAGGTGTGGAAATGTGGTGGCGTTAAATCGTGCACCTGAACTTTTCAAGCAGTTTTCAGTTTCAGAAAAAGACTTTATCATCCTCTGTGCACTATAAAGGAGGCCCGTATTGCAACAAATTCATTGAGAACCACAAATTTCCTTTCAACGGGCGGAGATTCTGCCCTACAGTTTTGTGAGCTGAGTTTGCGGTTTTGTTTTACTTGTGTTCTGTAGATTTCGGAATTGCTTCAGTGGTCCTACTGTTTTCTGGGGACTCCGTTTTTTTGTGGAGGGAGTTAAACGTCAAACAGCTGAAAGCGCTTTGAGCCAATCCGAGCGGGTTGTAGCGTAAAATGCGGTGTAGTCAGTGGACAGCGCAGACAAAAGTAATTCCAGGCAGCATTATCCAAAACCAGTGGACACACCACAAAACCATTAACGCGGTACAGTCTAGATGCATGTTGCAAGACCCTCAAGAACTACTCTCTGAACATAACCCGCTCTGGGAAACCGAACAAGGAAAATATTAACGGCCAACACAAGATTTTACCCTTGGAGGCGGTGCCCGATTGCACAACTCTTATGGGGTCCCTCTCGATATCTTGAACAGAGTTCTGCAAGCTCTCATTAGTAGTGCGGTAACAAGAAGTGTTAGAGAACTGTGGGGAGGGAAGAATGGTGAGACATGTACATACATTCCAATGAGGACAACAGGTCGTCTTGGCGTTAGCAGAAGACCGCTGAATTTTCGCCGGACTCTCACTAACACAATTGACCGTAGCACACATTGACGCCTGTGTTTCATTCGGTATCCGGGGTATAAGATTATGGTCCGCCACAACTTATAGGGCAGAAATAAATTCTGGACAGCCAAATACCGGTTTCACCCTTCTCCAGACTCACCCAGTAGGCCTATTCCTCGAACTTCTACAGAGCTTATCTCTTACCGCAACACCAGTTTTACACATGAGGCAATAAACACTGAGTCTCACATTAATCGTGTGCTAAGGAGAGACTTTGAGAAAAACCACCTAAATTTATCGTTCTCAACAGTATTTAGCTTACTTCGCTGTACACAGGCTTCCGGTTGCATTATCTGGAATGACACTCGAGGTATCGAAACATGAGAGGTCTTTGTGAGGCACATTCGATTGAGGAATGCCATAAATAACCAGGTCAGCTGGCTTCAAATTAGTCCCTTCTCAACACTGCGCCAATCTGCAAATAAGTGTTCATTGCTGTTCATTTAAGAAGTAGGTAGGATGAAAGTTCAGAGGTTAAGCCTATCTGATGAGACTCCAGAAGGTCTTCAGAGTCCTGTGTAGGAATGTGAATGGATAGCTGTCTTTAGTGAGTGGCACTGAGACCAGTCTACGAAACAGGCAGTGCCAAGGATTGCTGCATCAAATCCGGAGACTAGACACGCAAGTGAATCACACTTAACCTTGGCGGAGACAACGTCGTTTGTAGTGTAGTTGGGAGAGGTAAGTTTTAGGATATTGGATACAGTGAGATCAAGCTTAGTGGGTATGTCAAACAGGCGGAGAATCACACCCGGTGGTAGATTACCGGGACCACGTAGTTTAGTCTGGAGTCAAAACAAATCGACTATAGTTAAGTTGAGGAGACACTTGTGTCAACGATTGAAATGGAGCTTAAACAGAGACCTATCGTGGAGAGTGGAAATTTGTTCCTTGTTAGCTCCATCACTTCTTGGTCCTCAAGTGCCATGTTACACCATACACTAGACCGTTGCTCCACAAGAATCAAATAAGATGCACAGTTGAATGCCCCCGGCTGTTTAAGCCGGACGTTTTTATGATACGAAGCTGTGGATACCATATTCCCAGGTAGACTTCCATATATGGACCACATGCGTCAGAAGGGTAACCAAAAGATTTGCACTACGCCTGCAGAACTTACAAGATTTGAATCCATCCCTAAATATCTCTAAACTCCCGATAAAGTAACTTGATTCTGCCCCTGCTTCAGCCCGAAGTACTTTTCAGACAAACAGCTTTTCTTCCATCATTCCCTGATATCGGATTGGAATGGAAGAACTCGGGCTTTACACAACACGGGATCAACCATATAAACGCGCAGAAAACCAATGTGTTTTAGTGTTATATCTAACTGTTGTCCACACTCCAGTACCTAGTGCCGAAAAAACTCGCCGATGAAGAACACGGTAGCTTTATTGCGAGCAAGTGAGTGCGTGTGAAAGTACAACGGCTCCGCGCCATTTTTGAAGGGCACTGTTTAACTGATCCAAGGTTGTCTGAGCTATATTCCAAGGCTGTCTGGGAGAGTCTCGGGAGGTTTCGGATCTTGTAGGATAATCTTCAGGAATCTGACCTTCTTGACAGCTGGGATTTCAAGAAGAATGACGGACAGCCTGATGGTAGGCTTTATTCAGCGCATGACATTTGTACACCGCATCGGTGCATTGTCACACGTGAGTTGGTTTCTTGCGTTTTGAAGATAGGGACAACCCTAGTTGAATACGTTATTTTTGCAACTCACGATGAACCGTGTCACCATGATGGGTCAGCCTGCGCAGACCGACATCTTCCGTAGGAGCCGCCTGAGGTTAAAATTTATACCTATTGGTTTGTCCAGCGCAGGTTTGGAGAAGTAGCGGTTTTTTTATTTGGTGAAGTGGTTCAACAAACATGTGAATTGGTAATGAAGGCTAATATATGAAAGGAAGTTCATGTGCGCAATTAGGATTACTTGGCGAGACGAACATCGAATAACTCAGCCAGGAAGAATTTATTTAGGGCCTCCATTATCACAATTGTTATTGATCTGTTTGGTTGTAAATTTTGTACGAATTCTGGCGTGCCGGCCGGCTAGCTTCTGCCAGGTATTTGATGCGTGCCTTACCACATAGAGAGGGATGCTCAGAAGGTAAATCACCATTCGTGAGTGGAATTAGCATAAGTGCGCGACCAACCGGACATAATGTAGATTGTCCATCCACTGGTTGACATTTTGAACATGTGACCGTTTTCAGCGAAATACACTCATTTGCATACTAATTTGATCTTGACGGGAAACTCACCTGGAACACGGCAAAATCCCTTTTTAAGTAACTGAATGTGCTGCATCAGGCCGCCTCATGCTTTAGTCGGCACGTTATTTGAGATATCACCATACATTGTGCAGACGTATTGCACTACTCATAAGGTTACTGAAAATTCTTCAGAGGGTTTTCAGCGACCTTAATAGTAATGCACTACGTTTGTACAGTGTGGTCGTTCTATTTAATGAGAAAACAGACGGCTAAATCTTCACGCGACCCACAAAACTCATCGTTCAGTGATTAGATCTCAAAAAATTCGGTCCCTCAGGCTTCAGTTTCAGTATGATGAATTTAATCATATACTTGTAAGATCTGTGTGTTTGAACTGGGCACCGGTTATGGTATCATTGGGCTTTCGGAATGCATGTTTTCTCATTAGCCTCTTTCTCTTTGTTCTCTGTCATCACGAAGCAACCCTCAGAAACCCGTCAGCAGGAGTAATCATCCCTTTCATATTCACCTTTTCTTTGCATTCACCATTTTACCGCTCGACTACTCTCTGCTGTATAAAAGCCTTGCTTTTCTATGTAGTCGTCCGTCTGTAAGTGAAATAACACATGAGATGTGTCTACATTTTTATTCGCTTTGTTACCTTTAATACCGTGTTAACCTTTGCTCACCGATTGTTTTCTGGTATTCATAACCAATTGATGATCGTAACCATTTTGACTATGTGCAAGCGCTAAGCTAGTTGCACTGACAGAATCCATAGTACCAACGGAGCAATCATCTGGGTCACTGTCTTAGGGGTGCTGTAATAGACTCTCCAGAACGTACGCTTACATGCTGCGTCACGATAACTGCAACGCGGCGCTTGGATGAACATTTTGTCCCCCGTCACCATTTTGTTTGTCTATGAATAGTCCTCACCCTACTGTGAATATTCCTTGATTTCTGCCTTCTTTGGTACGCCGAAGAACATGCTCAAATGTGTCTCAAGTTATTCTGCACATAGTGGCCGGCGGGGGCTGAGCCACGGCAACACGTGTCTTTTAAGCTCTACAAATGCTTAGTTTGTCGGCGCCATGTCTTTGCTGTGCAGGAGATTATCCATTTCAAAAGTCTTTAGAGGTATTCGACGATAACAGTCGGCAAGTATCTATTACGAGATACAGAATGGAATGGCTCCCTCTAGGTCGACAGTAAACTTCGCGGCTAGTTTTGTTTGCTTGTGTTGGACGGTACCACCACTGCCTGACACTGATCCGTTAGCCTTCCTATGTCGGAAATGGTAAATTTCTGGGAAAAGAAACTACTCCATTCTTCGAACGACTGAATGGTACATAAAAGTATGCAGGTCATTTAACGCAATACGGTCCAACCCACAAGAAGAGTAGAAGGGGACATGTGAGACTAATTCCTCAATAGCAAATCAGCAGAACTGCTTTTCCCACCGGAAAGCCTAATGACATCTCAATGAAAGGGGCAAAGTTCCCTTCGTTGAAGCTAAACTTTGATGTTCTTCGGTTTGTTTTTGCGTTTTGTAGTACACACGAACAGTGTCGGGCATTGATCGATTTTAATAGTTTCGAATTCTCTTCTAACGGTTTGGTGATGCTTCCCTACTATGGCTGACGTTTTGGAGAAAAACCAACGGGTCTCCGATTCTGATTCAGAATACGGCCATTGCCACGTTTGGGTATTATGTTTGATCAAAACAGGCTGACTGTTGAGCTCCGATTCAAGAATCCTTAGGGAATTTTGACAGTTTTCAGACGTGAGGAAGGTGTGATTTGAACTGGAGCGGAATTTTATCCGAACAGGATATCTGTTCGCAATGAAGAACAAGTCAATTGCTCACTATTAGGTCTTTAAAGCGGTGGGTAGGGATAAGTAACATAATCGATGGTCAGATTTGATGGTACCTACGAGTGATTCTTGGCACTTATCTTCAATTCATCGAGTTTGAACTGATAGTTGTGTACGAATGCCTCAAATCTCGAGAGGTTCATGTTGTGGCCAACCAACTTAGTCCCACAAACGTTGTTATTACCAAAATGCGAGAACGTAACCACTAGCTTTTTGTTAATAACACCGAAGTGAGATGCCCCATTCATTACGCCGCATAGGGTTTGACATAATACCACCCCAATGAGTAGATCAGCAAGAAAACGTGGAAGAATGGGTTGCTTATTTTTAGTGTGTGGGTAGAACTTGCAAGCTCTATTTGACCAGGACACCGGCCAGTGGTGTTGCTTGTATTGAGATCATGTTCCTGGAAATGTCGGCTAGCGGTTCACCAGACGATGGAAGCAGGAACGTAACTTTCAGAAATCCTGGTGCTGGAATATACATGTGGTTGAACTATATTCGAACTAACGCCACTGATTGTGTTCTTGAGGCTGACGCAGTGGTAAGATCGGATAAAGTGGGTTCATCTTCGAAGGATTTTGATCTACGGAGGGGGACCATGTATTCCGCAAGTGCCGTCTTTCCAGGCAGTTTGCACAGGTTTGTAGACGTCTGGGGTAATCGATGTGAAACACTTGCTACAAGTGGGTGTCTCGGTATAGTCATCTCTACTTTGAGGACGGTGGTCTGAATCCCGTATACCGTTTGGATCGTGCGGACCATACTGAGGACAATAAATGCCCAAGTACCTTGGTGAGACAGTGAGTGCTTGCGCTTATGTCTTCCTCTGGACAACTTTGGAAGGAGACAATGTGCTGTGCTTCAAGAGCTTCCCTGAGTCTAACCGGACAGAATACCAGTTGCGAACGAAGCCCTCATGGCTTCATCTCAACGCACCATAGTGCATGCATCCTGGTAAGTGTATTACGAGGCACCATGAGAAGCTACCAAAGGTACCGTTCGAAAAGTGTCTTTGTTTCTCTAAAAATAAACTAATTTACAAATCAATTTGGTTTTCACGAGAGACTCAACTGAATCTCTCGTTTATGATATTCTACAACTGAATGTGCTGCACACAGTTGAGTCTCTCGTGAAAACCAAACTGATTTGCAAATTAGTGTATTTCTCGAAAACAATCCAATTCGGATTCAACTAGAAAACAATGTTGACGGAAACTCGGGGACCGCGCCTACCTAATGAGCACCAAGAAAGGCGAAACCGATCGTGGGCTGTCGAAAAGAGTTTTCAGCAACCTTGTGAGCAGTTTCCTTTATGCTTTTGTTTCTGTTTGTAGGCAGTCGACAAATTTGGGGCGAAAATGTCAATCTTAGTTTGAGTTTATTTGGATTTTGCCTTTTGTGCACAATCCATAGAATAATTGGACATACGAGACCGCTAGTCAGCTGGATCAGGTATGTACAGATCGTCACCGATACAAACGAGTTAAACAGACAATCTACTGGAACGGAATTATACATTGAGTAAATTGCTATGAAGATGGCAAACTTTCTGTGCGTCTTGAATTTCAGGAAAACAGCTTCCAAGAGTAAGTGCTACTGAACTCCTAAAACCAATGGTAAAAGCTGAAATTGGAAGGGAACTGTATGCTCAGCGAAATCGATGAGGGCCAAAAAATTATTCACCAGTGTTCGGAGAGGAGTTGAAGAATCTTCCAACTGTCTATAACAGCGTAGGGGCGACTGAGTTTTCTTGTTGGCGTCTCCAACCCATTCAAATAAATAGATCATCACCCGGGGTCATACCTGAGTGTATCGAGCGAAGTGCTCATTTGAAAGAAATAACGTGACCCATACAAAGCAATTAACTACCAATTGTTCTTTTCATTATGAAAATTGTGTTGTAAGACCGTAAGATGTGACATCCGACGGCACATCGATGGTAGATGTGTTTGATAACATGACTTGATCTGTGGTACCGCTTTGGGCGATCGTTTTCGATTGATGGTTGACAGTATTCTCAGTCGTTGTACCATAAGACTCGCGTTCAAGTGTTTGGTCGAACTCGAAAAGATTTCAATGCGACTAGATATCGGTTGACATCCGTAACAACCGTGACAACCTGGATGATGCATCGGGTTGTAAGGTTTGCTGGTCGGATGAGATTCTCAAATGTAATACCTCAAATTAATCACACAGTGAACCCCTACTTCACAAAGTGAGAAGAGACGATTCTGTTAATGTGTGATATGTGTGTAATGAGTATGTTGGGCTTATCTGGGAACTGAAACTCTAAAGCATCCTATAAATGATG